ACAATATTGTAGTGGTTTTTGTCATACATTGACATGAATCAATGATGGGCATCTAGGTTGCTTCCATGTCCTGGCTGTTATAAACAGTGCTGCAATGAACATTGGGGTGCACGTGTCTCTTTCAAATCTGGTTTCCTCAGTGTGTATGCCCAGAAGTGGTATTGCTGGGTCATATGGCAGTTCAATTTCCTGATGCAGCCTTTTTAAAAGCCTTTATTGAATTGGTTACAATATTACTTCTGTTTTATGATTTTGTTTTTTGGCCGCAAAGCAAAGCATGTGGGATCTTAGCTTGCTGACCAGGGATCTAACCTGCACCCCCTCAGTGGAAGGTGTGTGTGTGTGTGTGTGTGTGTGTGTGTGTGAAAGTCACTCAGTCATTTCCGACTCTTTGCAATTCCATCAACTGTAGCCCACCAGCCTCCTCTGTCCATGGAATTCTCCAGGCAAGAATACAGTGGCTTGCCATGCCCTCCTCCAGGGGATCTTCCCAACCCAGGGATCAAACCTTGGTCTCCTGCATTGTAGGCAGATTCTTTACCGACTGATCCACCAGGGAAGCAGTGGAAGGTGAAGACTTACAAATTATCTTTTTTGACATTCAAATAAACTTGCTTTTAAAGGTCTGCAAACTCTTCTACTTTCTGAACCTAAACTAAATATCAATATTTATTATCTACTTAAAACGTTTGCACCGACTCAACTCCCCGTCTTATTTAAATTTTACTGATGTCTTTCACTTTTGGGTTTTCTCTTAAGATCTCTGGCCGCTGACTTCTACCTGACTCAAACCCCATTGATCCACTGAGGAAGAAAAGCTTCTGCTACAGGATACAATGTGCCAACAAGCTCCTAGTCTTAGGCTTGGGCGCCTATGTTCTCCCCCTCCTTCTGCCACCACCCCGCCCCCTTACCCCACCTTCTCCCTTCTCACCCCAGCCCAGTCCCAATTCTTGCTTTCTTTCCTCATGGCTAGGGCTCATCATTTTAGATTGATATTTCATATCTTTGGGGCTCTATTTCTGAGAAAACTGGAAATAAAAAAATAACAAGTGTATGTTTTGTGTGCTCAGCCGTATCCAACTCTTTGCCACCCCATGGACTGCAGCCCTCCAGATTCCTCTGTTCATGGGATTTTCCAGGCGAGAATACTGGAGCTGGTGGCCATTTCCTTCTCCAGGGGATCTTCCCGACTCAGGGATCTCTTTATCTCTTGCATTTGCAGGGAGATTTTTTTACCACTGCCTCACTGGGGAAGCCCCACCCTCCCCCCCATAGTTGGAAATTTATAGTTTAAAAACTGAACTCCTATTGTCTATGGTGGGAGAAACTTTTGATTAACCATTTTATGAAGAAACTAATTATATTTTTATCAGACTTCACCATGTGTTATATTTAAATATACATGTGCTATATAATATGGATTTCCCAGGTGACTGAAAGGTAAAGAATTAGCCTGCAATGCAGGAAACATGGGCTTGATCCTTGGGTTGGGAAGACCCCCTATGGGAGGAAATGGCAACCTACTGCAGTATCCTTGCCTAAAAATCCTATGGATAGGGAAACTTGGTGAGCTAAAGTCGATGGGGTTGCAAAAAGAATCAGACATCACTTAGCAATACGATAACAATAACAATGTCATATACAAAGGTTATATATTTTTCATATTCTAATAAAGTGTTATATAGTTAAAATATTTTGTTTTTTCTTTTTTTCTGGACAAATACATTATCTAAAAACTTTGTCTTCATTTTATTTTTTCTTGACCTTTCTCAAAGATTAAAAATGCATTTTATGTGTTTTATTCCCTTATGTGTGGGCACGCTAAGTTGTTTCAGTTATTTCTGACTCTTTGAGACCCTATGGACTGTAGCTGCCAAGCTCTTCTGTCCATGAGATTTTCTAGGCAAGAATACTGGAGTGGGTTGCTATTTCCTCCTCCAGGGGATTTTCCAGACCCAGGGATCAAACCCACATCTCTTAGGTCTTCTGCCTTGACTGGCAGGTTCTTTACCATTAGTGACACCTGGGAAGCCCTTTATTCCTTTATACATATTACCTATGTTTAGCACTTCATTTGTCTGATATTGGGAGCTAAGTTTAATTTTACCAAAAGTATATCTAGTTTTTAAAGCACAATTTGTTGAGTATTCTATAATTTATTTTCTGATTCACCCATTTAAGTGACATGTCTGGGTGTCTACTATATGTCAAGGCCTAAAATGATGAACAAAAATGGACATATCCCTGTGGAAATTAGAATTGTTGGAGAAAATATATATCAGCCAAATAAGTATAGAAGCTATTATAAGCTTCAGTGTTGATTATTGTCTTAAAAATGTAAATTATCAAGCTATGAGAAATATTATAGAAGTAACTGACCTAGTGCCAGAGTTCCCTGAAGAACTCTAAAGGAGTATAGATTGAAACAGGTATTTTACAAACTGAATTATTTCAGTTAGTTAGGTAAAGAAAAGGACAAAGAATGATTTAGGCAAGAATATTAGGATGTGTGAAGACCCAGTGATGTTAGGAAAATTGGTTCATTTAATTAAAGCGGAATGATGTAACAAGGGCAAAAAGATAGAAGTGTATGAAGCTTTCAAAGACAAGGCCATAGCAGAGCCAGACAATTTGAGAATAATTTCTTATTTAAAATAGGTCAAATCTTGTAACTGACATAGATATACAGAGAATAAGTAGGGGCACTCCAGACTCCTTACTCTTTCAACAAGTTGAAAAATGGTGACTTTTACTAATGTAAGAACATCTGTGGGGTGATGATAAGCTTACTTTGTTTTCATTTTTGAGGTGTGGAGTTCTAGCATTTAATGTTAGGGGCATTTGGGGAGATGCTAATTGGCAAGAGAATAAGTGAGCTGAAACCTAAAGAAGAAATCTTCTCAGCATGTGCACATGTGTAAACACGTGATAAGTAGTAACTGAGACAATGACGGTGAGTGAAGAGACCAAGAGAATATAGGCTAAAGAAGAAATGGTTAAGAAGAAAGGAATGGTGAATGGCATTGAATTCTATTAAAAGTTCAACTAAAAGAGAAATAAAGGATCACTTAGTGAAGCAGAGATCACTTATGATCTAAAGGTGTGCTGATGCCAAGCAGTCATTAGTAAGGAGTCAGAATGCAATGGCTTGAGTAGTGAAAATAAAATATAATAAATAGTAATGAAACACAATGGCACTTTGAGACTTTTTCTAAGAGTGATAGAGAGCAAAAATAGTATTTTTATTGAGCTTGAGGTTTAATGATATTAAAAATTGCATGCAATTTTAAACTGATATGAAGGATAATATTAAGAAAATATAAAGTGGAGTAAGAAACTGTGTGATTCTCAGGTGGCAGAGTGGATAGATTCAAATATAGTTAAAATTTGCTTTATTAAAGAGGACAGAAAACACCTCTGTTGAACAGGAGAGAAGATAAGATGCAAGCATATTTAGGGAAAAAGATGAGGTAATCCGTTAGTTTTCTTTTTCTGTGATATAGGTCATCTTCTGAGAACAAAGAGAGGATGTGGAAGAGAGATTTGTTAAGAATGGAGAATGTGTGATAAAATCAGTTGCAGTGAATGTGAAAGAATAATGACCTGAAGAAAGCAATAGGACGCCTAGCAGCCTTAAAACAATTTGGTGCTGGTGACAATGAATTTATATTGCAGTAAACCTGACCTCTTCTAAAAGCACTTGGCTTCTCAGGTGTTGACAGACAGAAACAGATAATTTATCTCAAACATAGGATAATGATTTTATTGAACAAGTGGGACCAAAATATGTTCAAAAAAGTTAGTGATTGGCAAAAGAGAATCAAGGTTGACCTGAAAGAAGGTGAAGAAAGAAATATACTGATGGAGTGGAATGAGGTCAAGTTGGAGACAGAGCAGGAGATGTCAATGAGATCAGAACCTTTTCATGTTGGAGAAAGATAAATAAGCAATCTTGAAAGGTAAGAGTGTTTGTAGAGGGTGGGGAGTTTTAATAAGGCATTTTTGGATATGAAACACTTAAAGGTATGGCAAGGACCGAGATGTTCCCATGGGAGAGTTTGGCTGAGGCAGAGTGTAGTCACTTGAGGGTGGGGAGAAAGAAAAACTGAGTGGCCAGGGTGTAAGTGGATGGTTCACATGGACATTGATGAATCAGAAGACTGTGATCCATTATCACGAGTCAATATCGAGAACACCTGGGAGCACATAAACCATGATGAGAGGAGGGAAAATGAATATTAGTCATAAGTAACAGGGAGTGACTTAAGGAAGATGGTATTAGTACTGTGATTCTCAGTCATCTGGTACAACCTAACAACAGAGACACATTTGGAAATTTATCATAATATGCTGTCTTTTTAACCCACAAGTTGGTGACAATGGAAGTCTTTCAAGTTATATAGTTATTAATTATTACATGCCAAACTCTACTACACTATATTACATGTTATAATAAACACAATGTAAACTTCGTGTTCTGGGCGGTAATAGCAACTACCACTAAGTAGTTACTAAGAGTTATCTATTTTAATTTAGCCAGTAAAGCCTAAAATATACTTTCTATCCTGACATATCTGCATACTTTTCTATACATCCCATGGTACTCTTGTTCTGTGTAACATCTAATAAAATATGTAATTTGGCTCATTTTTCTTTTCTATTAAGCTTCAGCTTTGATGAGGGATATTCTTATTAAGCAGCCATTAAATTAATATTTTTTCGGACCTCTTAAACTAAAAAGTCTGTAATTCATGATACAGTTTTCAGAGTACCAAAAGTCATGATGTATTGAAGCAACATTTTCACTTCTTGGTCGGTGTTTTGTGGGAGAGTTAAAATTACAAATTGGCAGTTACATGAAAACTTCCTGTGTAGTTTTTCACATATGTTTTGAACATCAAAAATTTATGTAAGTATTAGAGTGGTTTTTAACCTAGAGTCTTCTCTAGATGTTCTTATACCTGATTATCTACTACATAACTAATTCCAATCTACAACAATTTTACATTATTTTAAGTCTCTGATTTTCCTACAAATTTATCTTCAAGTCAGTGAGTATGATTGCTTCCATTTATTTCTTTCTCTCAAGAAATTAAAAATGTATGTAATGACTAGCATTAATTTGAACTAGTAACTCGGAATGTATTAAATGATTGAGGAAAAAATAGCTTTTGTAAAATTATGTTGCATGCTTATTTCATGAACAATGGCATGGAGTATGATTCCAGCTATCTCTTTTATTTATTTTTTGTTTCTTTGTCTTGAAATTTTCCTGGTTTTTCATTTTTTCAACTACCTAGGCTCTTTGCTCCAGTAAACTTATTTAAAAAGCTATAATTTTCTCATTATTTTGAATTATTGGATCAGTAGATGTTTTCATTATTTGGTTTGGTACATAACAACAAATTAATTTCCAAAGGGTAAGATTTAGATTAGCCTGAAGTCCGTGTAAATAAATGTCTGTTTTCTTGCACATTGTGCAACTCTATGTGACTGCATTTGACTTAAATTTAGTGAATTTATTGGTGAATATGTGTATCGTTAGTATGTTAGTTCATATTTCTTTGGTTAGTGATGAAATAAAAATCTTTTAGTGTGATTATTGGTGACAAAAAACTTTAGTAATAAAAATGACATTTCTATAATTCAACTTAATTATTTTCCTAGTCTGTGTGAGGTTAGAAAGTTGTAACTACTTATGCTTTCTTTTATTATTAGCTTTATCATCTCATGTCTTACATTTAACATTTTGATTTATCTGAAATTTGTTTCAGTATTGAGGTGAAATTAGTGATCTAAGTCTATGTAATGCTTCAGTGTGAACCAATAGTCCATCCTTCCAGTGATTATACCACTTTTAAACTTTTCTAAGACTGTGCTTATTTAATTACTTTTTCTTAATAACAATAGTCATTTTTCTTCCTCCTATGGTACAAAAATGTAGTTTACTTGCACCAAATATTTAAACAGCTACATTCTTACAATACCAATATATTCTTCAATTAAATTTCATTTTTGCTATCACTGAGCAAAGCTTTCAGGAAACAATTTAAGGAAGTATACAAATTTTTAATTAAAAAATTGTACCCCATTTTTTTTTTCTGAAATTTACTCTTAAAACAGCCATGGATGTAGAAAATATCCTATGTATAAAGTTATTTGTTTTTAAACATTTTTAAATTCTCAAAACTTCACCTTTAAATTGCTTTTATCACATGTCCTTTAATTTTCAGTAAAATGAAAACAATGCAAACCTGCCAAAACTGTACCTAAAAGTAATCACTGCAAATCTATTACTTTTCTTTATGTATCAATATTTGTTACATTAAATAGTTAAAGGTGTACTAGAATATCAATATATCAATGTGAAATATTAACTTATCTCACAACTCACTTTATTACAAGCACGTCTGCTAATAACTCTGTTTTTTGTTTTCTGTTTTCCAGCTTAACTCTTGGTAAAGTATAACTTTACTAAGTATAACTTATACTTATAAACTGTATAACTTTGGATGTTTAAAAAATTGTGAGATAAATTGCTAAAAGTAGAATTGTTTCAAAGCTGCCTACTTTATGTTTTGTAAATATTGATAAATAATTTTGTACTCACAATCATTTGCTAATACAAAAATATCTGTTATCTAGTGTTTTCACAGGTAAAAGTTATTTTATTCTTTCAATTAGCATTTTTAATTTATTAATGAATTTGAAGACTATTTTTTTTAATTTTATGTTTTAACTTTTTATTTTTGTTCATTTTTGGTGGTTCATTGGCATTGTCTCATTAATTTAGATGGTCCATGTGCTTGCTTCTGCTTGTGTGTGTAAGTGGATAGGTAAATATGACCTGGTTAAGTAGGAAGAAGATGGTAGGCAGGTAGATTGAGAGATACATTGTTATTTTGCAAATGTAAGATTTACCCAGGTCCTGAGAGAGTTTTTCCTATGTTAAGAATCTTCTGAATAATGGATTATTTCGGTGATACAACAATCTTTATGTCAACTTGATTTGAGATTAAAAAGCTTTAATATTAAATTTAAATAATAAATTCTTTGTTAATGTCCTGTGTTTTAATCATAGTCTACACATGATGAACATTACTCATTACATAAAAACTATTGAGAAGCAAATATAGATATACTTTATCTACTCATCTCAAAAAATGATTAAAAGAGGAAATGAAATGTATAATCATATTGAAGGAAAATGGAATCACTCTTGTAAATAAGGATTGTAATGTTGGGAGACAGATTTAGTCTCTCATTTGATCCCTTTCTTACCCTTTTAATGTTATACCTAAATGTTTACTTATACATCAGAATGAAATAACTTTTTCACTGTTTGATCTGGTAACAATGAACACTTCACTCTTTTCCTCACATTTGTCTATTGCATAGATACTGAAGAGAAAGATATCAAGATTGAGCTAAAGGAATCCAAGTCTTTTCAGGGGAAAAAAAAAAAAAAGCTTAAGAATATGCAAAACAAAGTTACTGTAAACAAGCAAGAGGTAACCCACACAGAACTGAAATTTCCCAGATCTCAACAGAAGCAAAAAAGACCCAAAACAAATGAGAGAAATGTCGCATCAAGTGAACAGCAAGCAAGACACATGGAACAGAAATCACCCAGATTTTCTCTCTTTCAGTACAGAAAATGGTTGTTTAGGGAAAAAAGAAAAGGTATAATATTACACTTTGTTATTCACTAGATCTCGATTCTTGCATTTAGATTACTTCTCTCAAAATCTGTATCAAATTGCCACATTACACTATTTATATATCTTCAGGACTGTCCTTGATTATTTTAGGATATTACTGTGGAATTGTTTGTTTCTTAAATAGTCCTTCACCATGTTCATTTCCTCTAAAATAGTACTGATCCACATTCCAACACAATTGCATTACTTGTAAGAACTATTATATGAATTCTATTGCTTCTTTTGTGTGTTATTTTAAAAATAATTCTTGATGCCGGTCTTCAATTCAGTTCAGTCTAACTCAGTTTCACAATTATTTTTTTGAACTTGTACTGTGGGCCTGCTCTGAACAAAATGGTTCCTATAAAGGTTAAGAATCAGCAATCACTTAACTTCAAAAAACTAAGAAGAGTCTATTAGCAGAGAGACAGACTACAGAAAGAAAAGGAATATTTTGGAAGTAAAGTTTTTTAAGACCTATAATCATTTGGATATTGGAGGTAAAAGTGAGAAATTAGTAGAATAAGATAGCAAGGTTCCTAATTTAAGTAACTGAGTAGTTAATTATCTTAACCATGATTAAGAAAAATATTTAATCCAGTAAAAGTCAGATCATGTATGGCATTTAAATCATTTCTTAATCAGTTCAGAGGACAACATCCATAATGAAATGGGATTTGAAAGGTTGAATCTCTAGAAAGAAGATGGAAATGGGCAGGAAAGACTTATGTGAGTAGATAGGACTGCAAATAGAGACGATGTGAATGAGACGTCTCCATACAAAAAGGCAACATGTAAGAATTAAGGAGAGGAAGACTCAAGAAAGGTACCCATGAAATGCATGTCCAGAGAGGAGAAAATAAACTATGTTTAATAAACTGTAAGTGGAAAATTATTTCCTTGGATTTCACAGTTGGGGTTTTGGTTTGATTATGGAGAAAAGCTTACAAGCTACAACTGAAAGTTAAGGGATTGAAAGAAGTTTAGTATAGGAATAAAAAGAGTCCAGAAAGCATTTTTACAATTTTCACTGATAATAACAACATAAGAGAAATGACAATGATAAGTGGAAGACCTGAGCCAAGATAAGGAATCCCTTGTCTCAAAATATTAGATTTTGAGAAATTTGAGCCTATGTATAGACTAAGCAGACAAAGTTTATAAAAAAGAGATGATGAAGAAAAGGGCACAAAAAGATAATTTTCTCTTAGATAATAAATGCTCTAAGGGAGACTGGGTGGCATGGAATAAATAGGATATGTAAAAGGTTTTAACTTGAATCATAGAGAAATTGCTCATCTTCTGAAATAAAAAGAATACAATGACAACAGGGTATGAATATATGAATATATACACACACATATGTACATACAGATATAGGAGTGGGCAAGTTAAAGAAATTCATAGCCTCAACTATTTTGGTAAAATGAGAGAAATATCTTGGTGTTTGGATAGAGCTTCTCTGAGACTTGATTTTTTTTTTTTTTTTTAGCTATCTGGAGGACTTCGGGCAGAAGTTGACCAAAACTTAGAGGATTTAATTTAGTATTTAGCTCCCTCATTGCTTAATCTCAAAACCTGAAAGTAAAGTTTGACCCCTCACACTCAAGTAGTGTGTTCAAGCTGACCTGCTTCTCTCTTGGACTGAGATTCATATGTTTTCATGGAGATTACTGAGACAGACTCTCAAAAGTCTCACATCTTCCACTTTTCAATCCTTTCCTTATATTTCAAGCAAAATGATCATGCCTTTTTAAACAAAGTTCCTACAAAATTTTCTATTGCTATTAAAATTAAAAAATAATAATCCTATAGTGCTACAGAATATCTCTCCATCTCCATTCCCTCCTTTACTGAGCTCCACTGGATTGTATTTCAGTTCCAAGCTTCCTGTCATTTAAAAGTATTTACAGAGATTGCCTCTCCAAGTTGAAGACACCCTCTCACCATTCCCCAGGCTTCTCCTACTTTAAGGAATAATGAATTTTTATTTTCCTCCAATTTTAAGTACGACGCCATTTTTTGACAGAAACATTTTCTATCATTATGCTGAAACTTGGTGCGTGCCTAGTTGCTCAGTTGTGTCTGACTTTTTGCTAACCCATGGACTGCAGCCCACCAGGCTCCTCTGTCCATGGGGATTCTCCAAGCAAGTATTGCCATGGAGTGGGTTGCCATGCCCTCCTCCAGGGAATCTTCCCAACCAGGGAATCAAACCCAGGTCTCATACATTGTAGGGGGATTCTTTACTGTCTGAGCCACAAGGGAAGCCAGATCTTGGTGAACATGCTCATATATCTTTGTAAAATTAATGACAGCTCTTTCTTTCTTGACAAAAAAATAATAATGTATTTTGTTATTTCCCCTTTGACTGATACACTGAATGATTGGTTGGCTAATAAAAGAATGTTAATGCTCAATGGAATTTATAATTAATATTTTTATTTGCATGACAATATGCTCCCTGGTAGCTCAGCTGGTAAAGAATCCACCTGCAATGCAGGATACCCCAGTTCAATTTCTGGCTTCAAGTTCTCCTGGAGAAGGGATAGTCTACCCACTTCAGTATTCTTGGGCTTCCCTGGTGCCTCAGACGGTAAAGAATCTGCCTGCAATGAGGGAGACCTGGGTTTGATCCCTGGAAGACCCCTTGGAGAAGGGAATGGCAACCCACTCCAATATTCTTGCCTGGAGAATCCCCGTGGACAGAAGAGCCTGGCAGGCTACAGTCCATGGGGTCCCAAAGAGTTGGACACAACTAAGCACAGGACATTATTTTCTCTATCTAGATGTATTTCATTTCCAGTTTGCTAGAAGAAAGTATATTTGTGGAGTGCTCAGAGTTAGTAATTTATAAAATCATAGGCAAAGGAGGCTCAAAGATGATGGTGGAGGTGGTTCAGGTGACATATCTGGAGCCTCAAACAGGAAAAGAAGTGAGATCAAGAAGAACCTATTAGGGAGAAAATTTGAGTACGGAAAAATTAGAGTTCCCAATGTGCTAAGAAATGGTTTTATTCAGGATAAACACATTCAAGAATTTTTTTAATGGATGATTTCCCTCTGAGAGTGAAACATACTGGTATTCAGTTTTATATTTGATGTGTTCTGGGAAATGATGAAGCTTCATAATTGTTTATGTTTCCTTTAGTTTCACACCACCGATCTACAAAGTGGCAAGTGATAGCTTGTAGTCTAGGGATCTTGTGTGTGGTCCTGATAATAACACTTCGTGTCTTGCTTGCAAACTGTAAGTAATTGAGAAACTATCTGTTCTTATTATAATCAGTATATCAGCAACATGCTTCAATGATTTGAAATCAGGACTGAATTTTTACATTGTCTTAATATTTTATCCTAAAGAGAACTAATTACTATCATGATTTTTGCCGTAGTGTTTTCTGGCAGAGAAGACCAAAACCAAAAAATATCAACTATTCCCACTCTATCTTCTAAAAATGGTGGTGAGTATTCTCTCTGTTCAGTCTAATTCTAATACTGATTACTGGGGCTAATGAGCTTATTTTCCCGACATCCACAAAACTTTAATCAATCTGATAGAAAATATCATGTTATAGAATGTTCAGTTTTTCATTAAGGAAAAATTAATAGTGGGCAAAAGAAGAAAGATGATAAAGAAGAATGTTAAAATACTCAAGTATTATGTGTGTAAGTGTTGTTTGTGATTTGATTCTTCTTAGGAGAAAAAAGGGATTTAAATTATATTGAGGTGAGGGTGTGAGAAATGGGTGAAGGATGTCTAAAAGGTAGAAGGAAAACAAGGGAAGACAGGGAGTTGTGTCTCTTTAGCAGTTTTTCTTTCTCGCTTTCTCTGATGGAGATGATTAGCAGTTTTGAAGTTACAAGCATATATATTTTACATTAACATTTATTGTACATCCAGATTCAGTGGCCATAATATAGAAAGTTGTTTTTCGTTTTCTCTCTTTTTCACATATTGCAAGTTTACTCCAATCCTTATCAGTAAATTCAGCACTTAAAAAGAAAAAGATATATCTATTCTTAATTGAGCCTGTCTTCCCAAGAAGTTGGAATTTTTCCCGTCTGTTATCCTTTTAGGGAAATCATTGCATTTTAATTAACAGAGTTGGATTTTCAGGAACGATGTACTTGCCAAGAAACAAAGTAGCTTTCCACACACACAAAAAAACAGAAGGATAGGGCTCCTATATCAACCAAAAGCATTCCCCATGAGTATTATCCATGAACATTCCTTCAAAGCAGTTACAAAGAAAAGAAAAATTATGACAATAATGGAGTAATTTATACATGGCATGAAAATAATTTGGCTTAGCATTCTCCAATAAATTAAAGACAAACATTTATGAAAGGAGAAAAGTCTAAGTATGAAAAAGATGGAAGAAAGCAAATTTCAAGTTTTATTAAAAATAAATTGTCTGAATAAAAAGGGAACATCCCAATAAATTCAATAAACAGGAGACTAGACAGCACAGCTACTAGTTTTTATTAAAATTAGTTGTTTCAGAACCTGCTTGATGGCTTTTAGAAAAAATAAAATCTATAAATGCCAAATATTAGCCATTTACATGGCTTGTGTTTTTGTTTTCCTTTCATTCACCTATTTTGAAAATTCTGTTCAGTTCAGTGGCTCAGTCGTGTCCAACTCTTTGCAACACCATGGACAGCAGGACGCCAGTCTTTCCTGTCCATCACCAATTCCCGGAGTTTACTCAAACTCATGTCCATTGAGTCGTGATGCCATCCAACTATCTCATCCTCTGTTGTCCCCTTCTCCTCCT